CTACACAGCCTACTCCCTCCCTTCTTCCTCCTCCTCCTCCTCCTCCTCCTCCCATCAATAGATGGGTGGGTTCAACGACCAGGTGATGGCCTCATATGTCTGTGCCACGTTTTCTATCGCATTTCATACCCTTTTGTTGGTCGATGAGGCGGGGCAACCATGATGACAGTTTTTGTAAGTTTTTTGCCCTGCTTCTTACAGTTTGTTAAACTTGTTTTTACATTTTGCTACTCGGAAATGATGACAATTTGTTTTTTTGTGTGTAGGACTTTTTGGGATTTGTTTAGCCGTGTTAGGCAAGAGATTTCGATTTTTTTAGTTCTCATGTTGGTGGTATGTAGGGATTCCGATCCCTTCCGTGGATTTTTGTGGGGATCGTAGTAGTTTGTTGCTTTCTTGTCTTCTGCTTTCGTGGATGTTAGAGTTTTCACCCCGTTGTGTTAAACAACGATTTTTTCCTTTCATCTTTGTCACTTTTACTTTTTTGTTATTTTGTAATCTTATTGGCATGATTCCTTATAGTTTTACAGTGACAAGTCATTTTGTGGTCACCTTTGGTCTTTCATTATCTCTTTTTATTGGGCTTACTATAGTGGGATTACAAACTCATGGACTTCATTTTTTGAGTTTTTTATTACCTCAAGGCGTACAGCGACATCGCACAGGTGGGCCATGGTGGCCATCTCTTCTGTAAACCAGGCGCTTTGCGCACGCGCAGGTGACCGAAGGCGCTTGACCATGCCACGTTACAAGCTGATGTGGCAGATGGACTAACTCCCATTGGCTTGCTTTTTATAGGAGTTCCACGTTTCAATCCATTGCAGCTGCGTTGCTGCACGTGGCATATGGCCCGAGAGGCATTGGCTATGTCGACGCTTGTGGAATACAGTGGAGTCAGCCCTTGGTAAACTGAAGTGCGAGTGCAGTGGCAACTGCAATCATGAGGAAGTGGGTGTGTCAGCATAATCAGGGTGTTGCTCGTCATCAGCAACAGGGCGCTGATCATCACCAGCACTATCATCAACAGGGTGCGGTTCGACACCATCAGCACCAGGGTGCTGCTCGTCATCATCATCATCATCATCAACAGGGCGTGGTTCGACATCATCATCACGGTAATGGTTCGTCATCATCATCAAGGTGCTGCTCGCCATCACCATCATCATCATCAGGGTGCCGCTCATCATCATCAGGGGTGCTGCTCGTCACTGTTATCATCAACGAGGGAAGATCGCCAGTGTAGGGCGCTGCTTGTCAGCATAGGACGCTGATTGCTCGCTATTAGTATCATTAGCATTATTTCGTCATCATAGGGCGTTGTGGATGCTCCTTGTCATTATCCTAACCATCAGCAGTTCGTCATCAGTTTGTCACCATAGGGCATTTGTTGGCGAAGTTCGTCTCATAGGGCGCTGCTCGTCATCATCATTTTCATCATACTCAGTTCATCATCGCAGGGTGTTGCCTGTTGCTAGGGTGCTGCTCGTCATCATCATTTTCATCATACTCAGTTCATCATCGCAGGGTGTTGCCTGTTGCTAGGGTGCTGCTCATCATCATCATCATCAGCAGCAGCAGCAGCAGCAGCAGCAGCAGCAGTTTGTCATCATAGGGCGTTGCTTGTTACTAGTATCATCTCATCATTCCGTCATAATGGGGTGTTGCGCGCCATTATCAACATCATTATCATTTTGTAGTCATAGGGCGCTGTCGACACTGCTCTTCATGATGATCATCATCATCAGTTCGTCTTCATAGGGCACTGTTGGGGCTGCTCGTTATCATCATCATCATCATTATCATTACGTCAGCATCATCATCAGTATTACCATTATCAATAGTTCACCATCATAGGGCGCTGTTGACGAAGCTCGTCATCATAGGGCACTGCTCATCCTTATCACCATCATCATTAGCTCATCATCAAAGGTGCTTGCCATTAGCACCATCATCATTCTTTTGTTATCACAGGGCACTGTGCGTCATCATCGTCATCATCATCAGTTTGTAATCATAGGGTGTTGTTGGTGCTCTTCAGTATGATCAGAATCATCATTCTGTCTTCATAGGGCGTTGTCGAGGCTGCTCGGCATTATCATCACTATTATCATCATCATGATGGTGCTGCTCATCATTACCATCATCATCATCAGTTTGTCATCATTAGATGCTGCTCACATCAGCAAGTGAGTTGGTCGTCACCACCATCCTCATCATAATCATCATCTTCAGGGTGTTGTTCATCGTCATCAGGGAAAAAAAAAAAAAAAAAATCATCTACCTTCTCTCCATCATAATTTTCAGAAATTTCTGATTCTTCCACTCATATCTTAGGAATTTTATTTCCTAAACTCCTCGTTTTTTCTTTTCTCCACTATTAATTTATGATTCCCCTTTGGGCGCACTAATGAATTATTTTTGCGTGGGTGGGGGGTTGGGGTTTTAAGGAGCAAGCTCTACTCTGCAGGGGCTTCACAAGGTGGGGGGTGAAATGTCCTGGAGGGAGTGGGGGCAGATTTTTGGGGGATGCCCTATTCTGGGGCTGGGAGAGATGTATGGGCTGGCATCATATCCCAGCGGAGGCAGATAGGGGTGAGGGGTTGGCTGAAGCATACTTTGGGTGGAACTGGATGCCTTAGTGGAAGTAGGGGGGAGAAGCAGGTATGTCCCAAGTTGGGGCCGATAAGGAGAGCTTGTGATCAGGGCAGTCTTTTTCGGTGGAGGCAGAGGAGGGACAGGTGGAGATGGAGGGGAGGGGGGGAAATAATCCACAGTAAAGTCTGGAATTCTGATTCTCCTCTTAAGAGTAAACAAGTTATTTCTGGTGGACTGGTGGGTTGGTTGTGAGGGGGAGAGCTCTACTCTGCAAGGGCTTCACAAGGAGGGAGGTGATTGCCCGGAAGGGAGACGGGGCAGATTTTGGGGGATGCTCTATTCTGGGCCTGGGGGAGATGTATGGGTCGGCATCATATCCTAGCAGTGGCAGATAAG